TAACGGGGGGTGATTGTAATATCCAGACCAGGAAAGCTTAAAAAGATTTGATAGGTACTACTCATACCAACAAGGTGCACCTTCTTTTTCGGAAGTCCATCGTTAGAAACTCTACAATTAAGCGTGCTTGGCTTAGAGCAATTCTATGATGGGTGACCCCCTGGGAAGTTTTCTCGGGGAGCGTGCGAGTGAGGACAAAGTATGCTGAAAAGACCATGTTGGTATAATGGGGACAGTACGTCGTCAATCTAACGGCCGGAACAACCCGTTAAGTGGGACTCGGGTCGTTACAGAAATGCCAGCAAACAAATCAACTGACAGGCGTAGATCCACTTTGTTGTTGCAATCTATCCAGTTGAGGAGAAGCGGGACATATGCTCGAGGTAATAATGAGGAAGAATTCGAGAAGGAAAGAATAAGGTGGATGGAAATGGAGAGCGGGTGGATTTCATTGACTGATGAATTGAGAATTGATCTTGAGTCCATCTGTCAAGAGCAAAAAAGGTGGAGATGGAATTGAGATTAGAGAAGAAATGTACAGAGGAATTGGATGATGTACTAAAAAGATTTGTTCTTGGGCATGCTAGACACGGCCACTGAAGCTGCTTTCCCTGCTTCTCTCAACCTAACAAGAAGTTCACTTGCAGCATGTACAGCTTCTGTTGTGTCTTTAAGCTGAATTTTAAGACTTTGATTCTCCTTTTTCAGTAAATCCCTTTCCCTTTCTCTTTCCACCCTAAAAGTGGAAAGCTCTGCCGCAAGGGACTTGGCAAAACGAGAGCCATGACCTTTCTCTCCTGCTTTTTTAGCTGCCCTTTTCACCTCTGCTATCCCTTCCATAATTGGGTTTTCAATTGGGTTACTGCCTACTAGGCTTGAACAGTGGGCTACAACCAATTTACCTATAGTTTTAATTCATCTGGGCTTGGACTACACTGGGCTAGCCCAGTGTAGCCCACCACTAGATCCGCCCATGGTTACAACCGCTTTAACGAGAGCGCAGCAGCTTGACCTCATTACAAAAATACTTCCTTTAAACAAGTGAAGCCAGCCATGCTGGTGTAAACTTTTGTACTTTATGTATGCCATTACTCTTAGTTTCAAAATGTAATTTACATAAGTTGCAAAAATAGAAAGTGAGAAGTTTGAAAATATTATAAATTTTGAACTACCACAAATTGCATATTATATCGTCAATATTATGTCAAACAGGGGATACCTGTTTACACACACTATGCTTGTTCTTAATAAATTTGAACTCAACTATATCGCTATATCCATTCTTTAGCTAGACCATCTTGCTAGTTAAGGAAAAAAGGTTGAATTTCGAGTAGCGAGTTACTTGTTTTGAAAGTAATCACTTCACTAAAAAAATACCTGACATTTTTTACTCGTAAACATAAATATTAACTTAAAAGTAAGTTTTACTTTTAAGCTTTACCCAAACATGCTTGGTACACTTAATATAATATCAATAAAATATAAGAGCTTCTAAGAAGTTTATTTTATAGGATATGTTTTGCATACAAACATGCAAATAGTCCAGACCACAATTTGATTTAAGCCATGGAATCTAAAGCCCACAAATTCCATTGCCCGAGAATAAAACAAACATATTAAGCAACAGCAACAGCAACAGCTGTTGGAAAAATGAGTATGTGGCTGACTTTGGTATGAGTTTTGAGTGAGACCCGTTTGGCTAGTTTGGAAGATAAAGATTGATTTGTGTTCACCTTCGTGAGTATATCGAAATCATGTATTTACTTACCAAAACTGATGCTCGAGTGAATGAGAAATTGAAGCTCAAAGTATGTCAATTAAAAGGAGTTTGTGTTGATGGGAAAACTAGAAATGTGTTTGTCTCACATAGGAAGTTGATGAAAACAAAAATCACTTTAAATATGGTTGCACTTTGAAATGGTGTAATCATGTGTAGCATAGAGGCTCTCTCCATGTGCGCGTACAGGGGGTGCAAATCACGGACCGAAATAAGTTTCGAACCTTGAACTCTTATTCGAGCACGACCTGCGTACATGAATGTCGGACCGAAAGGAGCAAAATTGGTCCCTTAGGAGTGTCCACGTTTTGCTACATTTTTGTGTCAACTGACTTCTCATTTTCTGAAACTGTTAAAACTCATGTGGTAATTGTCATTAAGTGAATGGGCAAGTTACATTCTCAAGAGTCAAGTCTTTATCTGTCTCGTTTTCCACTTTTGAAATATACACACGAATTCATCTGAAAATACACAAAAAAAACTGTCTGCATACATTTTAATTTATGTTTGAGTCTTGGAGGTGATATTGTTCAGACACTAAATCAGTTCGTCGAAATAGTATCTGTAGTGCTCAGAATCTACTAGTTTTACCGTTGTATCCTGAGAAACGGACGATCGATTTAAAACTCAAGCACAGACGGTGAGGGGGCGAATCTGTTTTAAGGAAACTGTGTGTAACACATGTCTCAGGTTAAAAGTTTTACTGTTTAATTCGTTTTTTTTAATTACTTGTTTGTTACTCGTTTTTGCATATTGATATTTTGATGTTCTCTTTAAATTACTTGTTACGTCTTACTGTAATTAACAAATCATTGAATCTGCCAGATTATTAAATCTGTTATATATAATTGAATATGTTATATTCAAAGTTATATGCAAAAATGGTATATGAAAATTCAGTATTTAAATTCACTGCATATACGGTATGCTCCAATCCGGTATGTTGTAAATACAGTATTAAAACTATAAATTTGGTATCCAGTGTGTAAATCCGGTATCTAGTACTGAAAGACTTATCTAACAACAGCTTATGTAGGCTTCGTCGCTTCGATTCTGGCTCGGCTGATGCTTCTGCAAACTTTAATTCTGGTGTAGCTGGTGCTTCAGCAGGCTTTCCGCTGCAGCTGGTGTTTCATCCGTCGTTGATTCTGGTGTAGCTGGTTCTTCTGTTGCTTCCCAGTAAGAAGTTGCCTTCCCAGTTTTTGAAACAGTTTGCAGAACAGCTTCTGGCTGGACATTGCCCTTCACGGTAAGATTTTGACAATATTCGTTTTTAAGAATCCTATATTCTTGAAATACTATCAATATTTTTCACAACTTAAATTATATTTTTCTAATGAACACGTCTTAAGATACAATAAAATCAAATATTTTATTAATTATCTAGAGCACAACTTTTACGAGTAGAATAATATATAAAGGGTTTGTATATACTATCAACATGTTTAGTAAAGACGGCCGAACAATATTATAGAAGAAAAAAAATTATATCTAATTCATTATATGGTCAAATCATGTTATCCACTTTTTCCAGCCAACATTTATTAAAATGTTATTTAACTATTATATGCTATATTTCCAATCAACGTGAGATATTTCAGTTGAAAACAAGGAAAAGGATAAGAAAATAAAACAAAAACTTTTAAGCGAATTTGTTTATAAGCAAAAAGTGTCGGCATCAATCCAGCCAACCAGGGGTCCAGGCCAGTTCTTTATTTTCTGCTATTACAACCAACTCTCATTAAGTATGACGTACAAACTCCACAGAAAAAAAAAATATTCAGATAATATTTTTCCTTTATTTTGCGAGAACAATTAAGCTCCCGTTTGGAGCACATTTTCAGTTCATTTGAAGAAAGAATATGATCGTTAGCTATTAAATTTGGGTCCCACCTGTGAGATGAAGGTCAAAAAAAGTTACTGCATTTTCATTTCCAACGACTATATTTTTCATTTTTTTGGATTAAAAATGTGCCCCAAATAGGGGCTAAGAATAGAGATAATTACTTAGACATTCCTGAATTACTACAAAGATGCTATTTTTATTTTTCAAATTTTCAAATCGAGATTATTTTGCACGATTGTAAATAAGCTTATCTTCAGCTCATTCGGTAAACAAGCTAGCGCTACTTAAACTTGAATAGTCAATGATTGGTTAGACCGTCCTCAATGTGACACGTGCAAGCAAAGTTGTGACCCCACTTTGCAAATAAACTTGAAGCAAGAATAAACATATAGACATGACATAGAAATGTTGATGGAAAATGGAACATCCCTAGCTGTTTATATGACCTGGGAGATTTTTTTTTGTATCTGACCAATCATATAGAGAGCAAGCATGAAATGATGAGTTCATTTTCAATGTCATGGTTTTTTGCTAGTCGTGGAAGAGGAGCTGTAGATTCCCTCGATTTTATTCAAA